TCCTTTCATACGACAGGTTTTCCATTCCTCGGATCATCCTAGTGGCCTTTCTCTGTACCCGTTCCAGTTTGATTTCATCCTTTTTAAACATGGGAGACCAGAACTGCACACAGTACTCCAAATGAGGTCTCACCAGTGCCTTGTATAATGGAACCAGCACCTCCTTATCCCTACTGGAAATACCTCGCCTAATGCTTCCCCAGACGGCATTAGCTTTTTTCACGGCCACGTCACATTGCCGACTCATAGTCATCCTGTGATCAACCAGGACTCCGAGGTCCTTCTCCTCTTCCGTTACTTCCAACTGATGCGTCCCTAGCTTATAACTAAAATTCTTGTTATTTATCCCTAAATGCATAACCTTACACTTCTCACTATTAAATTTCATCCTATTACTATTACTCCAGTTTACAAGGTCATCCAAATCTCCCTGCAGGATATCCCAATCTTTCTCCGAATTGGCAATACCTCCCAACTTTGTGTCATCCGCAGACTTTATCAGCCCACTCCTACATTTGGTTCCGAGGTCAGTAATGAATAGATTAAATAAAATCGGACCCAAAACTGAACCTTGAGGAACTCCACTGGTGACCTCCCTCCAACCTGACAGTTCACCTTTTAGTACGACCCGCTGCAGTCTCCCCTTTAACCAGTTCTTTATCCACCACTGGATTTTCATATCGATCCCCATCTTTTCCAATTTAACCAAAATTCCTCATGCGGTACCGTATCAAACGCTTTACTGAAATCGAGGTATATTAGATCCACCGCATTTCCTTTATCTAAATAATCTGTTACTTTCTCAAAGAAGGAGATCAGGTTGGTTTGGCACGATCTACCTTTCGTAAAACAGTGTTGTAATTTGTCCCAATTGGCATTGTCCTCTAGGTCCTTAACTACTTTCTCCTTCTAAATTTTTTCGAAGACCTTGCATATTACAGATGTTAAACTAACAGGCCTCTAGTTACCTGGGTCACTTTTTTTCCCCTTCTTGAAAATAGGAACCACATTAGCTATTCTCTAGTCAAAAGGTACCACCCCCGAGTTTACAGATTCATTAAAAATGATCGCTAACGGGCTTGCAATTTCTCGCGCCAGTTCCTTTAATATTCTCGGATGAAGATCATCCGGTCCGCCTGATTTAGTCCCGTGAAGCTGTTCGAGTTTGGCTTCTACCTCGGATATGGTAATGTCAATCCCCACTCCTTTATTCCCATCCATCTTGCTTCTACTATTCCTCAATCTTTCATTAGCCTCATTAAATACCGATGCAAAATATTCATTTAGATATTGTGCCATGCCTAGATTATCCTTAATCTCCACTCCATCTACAGTCTTTAGCGGTCCCACTTCTTTTTGTTTTCTTCCTATTTATATGGCTATAAAAGCTCTTGCTATTGGTTTTAATTCCCCTTGCAAGGTCCAACTCTACACGGCTTTTGGCTTTTCTCACTCCATCTCTACATGCTCTGACCTCAATAAAGTAGGTTTCTTTGCTGATCCCTCCCATCTTCCACTCCCTGTACGCTTTCTGTTTTTTCTTAATGACCCCTCTGAGACGCTTGCTCATCCAGCTCGGTCTAAATCTCCTGCCTGCGAACCTTTTTCCCTTTCTCGGGATACAGGCCTCCGACAGCTCCTGCAACTTCAACTTGAAATAATCCCAGGTGCCTTCTGCCTTATATCCCTAAATATGTTAGTTCAATCCACTTCCCTAATTAGTCCCCATTAATTTATTAAAGTTAGCCCTTTTGAAATCGTAAACTTTAGTCTCCGATTTAATTCTGTTAATCTTTCCATTTAGTTTAAACTGAATTAGCTCATGATCATTCGAGCCAAGGTTGTCCCCTATAACCATTTCCTCAACGAGGTCCTCACTACTCACCAAAACCAAATCTAAAATGGCACCCCCCCTCGTCGGTTCAGCAACTACTTGATGAAGGAATTCATCAGCAATCATGTCTAGGAAAATCTGAGCCCTATTACTGTTACTAGCATTTGTTCCCCAATCTATATCTGGGAAGTTAGTCTCCCATGATTACACAGTTCCTATTAGTATTTACTTCCCTAAAAACATTATATAGTTCTCTGTCCATATCCAGGCTAGATCACTATAGCACAGCCCAAGCACTATCCCAGGGGAGGCTGTAGTAGTTCTTTTACCCAATGTGAGTATTGCCCAGACAGACTCTGTCTTATCCATTCCATCACTTATTATTTCTTTACAGTTTACCTCATTGACATACAATGCTACTCCCCCACCTTTACCTTTGATCCGGTCTTTCCTAAACAGCACATACCCTTCCATACCTGTACTCCAGTCATGACTACTGTTTCACCACGTTTCAGTTTATTCCTATGACATCCGGTTTCATTTCTTGGACCAGGAGCTCTAATTCCTCCATTTTGTTACCTAGGCTTCTTGCATTGGTGTATAAACATCTTAATTTATGCCGTTTGGCCTCTCTCACATTTGTTATCCCATTTGGTATGGACACCGTACTGCTAGTATGACCTATTAGTCTAGTATCCACCCCCCCCCTTCTGTCCAATCTCGTCCCCCCAGCTATATCCGTTCTTATCTCATTGTCCTCCCTCTCAATGTTATAATCTGGTGTGGAGATTAACTGGACATCTCCCAACAGTCTCCCCCAAATTCCTAGTTTAAAGCTCTTTTGATGAGATGAGCCAGCCTTCCTCCCAGAAGTCTATTTCCTTCCCTACTCAGGTGAAGTCCGTCCCGTGAGAACAGTTTTCTGTCCCCGAAAGCCTCCCAGTGGCCATACATCCCAAAGCCCTCTTTATAGCACCACTCCCGTAGCCAACTATTTATCATCACAATCCTGTCACCCCTTTGCTGCCCTTCTCTAGGAACAGGCAGAATCCCACTGAAGATGATCTGAGCCTCTATTTCCTTAAGCGTCTTCCCCAGCCTGGCATAATCTCCCTTGATTCTCTCTAGCGAGAACCTAGCCGTGTCATTCGTTCCTACGTGAAGGATGATCAAGGGGTTCTTACCTGCTCCTTTTAGGATCCTTTTCAGCTGCAGGTCCACATCCCGTATCTTAGCGCCCGGTAGACAGCACACCCTTCTGTTCTCTGGGTCTGCCCTGGTCACAGGCCTGTCTAACCTCCTCAGTAAGGAGTCCCCAATCACGTAAACCTGCCTTTGCCTGGTGACAGTGCGATCTACTAATCTATCCCTTGTCCCCTCTAGTTGCAACCCCTGTCCATTCCTATTTTCCCTAATAATCCCCCTTATGCCATCCTGTATCCTCCCGGGGCCCAGATTTGGTGCTGTCTCCATCAACTCCTCCCCTCTTTCTATGGGACTAGCAGCTCTTCTTTTTCCTCACCCTGCCCACTTCAGTTACCACCTGCTGCACCCCTTCCTCGTTTTCCAAACACCCAAACCTGTTCCTGAGCTCTATTTCTCCTTCACTCGCTCTCCTTTTCCTTGGCCTGCTTCTCAGTCACATGCTTCCACTGCCCTTGTTCTCCCCCCGGCATTCCCCGCTCACAGGTCTTTGCCCCTGCTTCCACCTGAACCCCTGAGTATTCCCCTTCAGCCCCTCCTTGCCTTTGCTCCATCAGCTGCTCAAACTCCCTTCTAAACTCTATCAGGGTATCTACCTGCATCTCCAACCCTCAGATCTTTTCCTCCAACAGCTCTATTAGGCGGCATTTCATGCACACATACCTCTGTTCGTGCACTGCTGCTAGGACCATGTACATACCGCAGCTGCCTGTTGAGATCATCTGCATTGTGTCCCCTGCTGCTTGGCTCATGGCTGCTGTTGTCTGAACCCCGCCTACTCAGCTGTGCCCTCTGCACCTGGGGAAACACAGCACACAGGGCGCCACGCCCTCCTGCCTCTCCTTTCACCTCCCCCTGTAAACTCCCCTGTTAGCAGCCCTGTTGGCTGCTCGCAGCTGTGCCGCTGCCTGGCTGGGTGGCTGCTTTTATAGGCCCTCTCCTCAGCCAAGCTCCGCCCCCTAATCAGGGCTCAGCTGCCCGCCCAGCACGCTGCCCCTACAGGCCTCTACACATACAAGCAATACAAAGACAGATGCAAATACAGGTACCTTCTCCTCCAATGGAACTCCCACTCAAACTCCATGCAGCCATGCATTCACTTCCAGGATGTCTGTCTCTGTCTCTGCCCCTGCCCTTGATTAGAAGGATTAATGAGAACACCACCTGTGCCCCAGCTCCTTCACCCTCACTACTGGAGCCCCCTGTAGTCACCTCTGATCTGCTCAGGGTCATACCTTTGTTTCCTCTTGGGAGTGGTGGGCTCGATCCTCCCCACCTTGGGGGGGTACATGCTGTGTTCTCCACCATTGGGAGAGATCCCTCGCTGCCAGGACAGCATACCAGCTTTTTCTTCTCTGGATGGTGGGTTGGGGGCAGGGGTGGAGTGCTGCTTGAAGTAATCAGTAGCTAGCTTGCTCTCTCTGAAGGAGTCATTTCCCCCTCCCCTGATGGTGCTACTGAAATTTTCTTCAGCTGGATTCCTTTCTCAACATTGAAGGTTTCCATATGCACGTTTTCAATGCATTCCTCGTGTGCACGGATGCTCCTCAGCTGTAGCCACCTCCTTCTTAAGAAATTATGCCAGTATACAGCTCTCACACTATAAACTACTATATCTCACTAAGAAATCTATTTTTACAATATTTTTCATTTAAAATTGAGCAGCAAGGAATAATATTAACAGAGAAAGCTACTAGTCTTTTAAACCTTTTCCTGAGTGAACATAACGACACTTGATAGGTCTATGGCCAACAAATATAGACAAGGACCCCTACTTAAACAGCCTCGGTTAATTAATGTTACTTTTTCATTCTTTTGGCCTTTGTAGTTACACTCAGCTCAGGCTGTTTGAAATGATTTTCTCTGAAAGTGTTGTGACATTGTTTTAATTGAATGAAGCTCTATAAATGGTGTTATAAATTAACACAATTAATTTCTAATATAATGCAAACAATATTTACTTGGAAATTTGGTTGCTGTATACAAAGCAGTTACTAGGATTTATCTTTTATGTTTACTACTTAAAGCAGCTAGAGAGATGGCCTTGCCAGGCCTTTATTGTGAAAATATTTGGAAATGCCAGTGGTGTGGGTTTAAAAGGCTCTTGAGGCAGTATGAGTTAGCCTGCTTTGAAAACGTTTGAGAATTCCATCTTTCACACTGAATGCATATAACAGAGGAATTCTGTTAGCAAAGACGTGGTTTTTATCTTATAAACCAGGTTTTTGCTGAAGTGGCCATATAACTATGCTCACAGGAAACAAGACTAAAAGAAAGTCCTACATTAAAAATTAAAGAATAAGAGTAAACTATTCTTAAAACTGTTGATGTGGTTATAGTAAAGTCAGAATTTTCAAACCTTAGGTGACTTAATGTAGCTATTATATGTAAGTGGCTTGACTTTCAGAGGTGCTATGCACCTTCCCTTGAACATTCACTTTGGAAATTTTGGGTATTCAGCACCCCTGAAAATGTCTAATTTTAGGCACCCAGGTTTGGCTTGATATAGATATACATTAATCAAATAGGTTATTTCAGATTTATTGATTGAAATGTGATCCGTTGTGGCTGAAGAAATTTCCCAAACCCTGTATTTCCCATCCATTACACATGACTTGGTAGAACAGAGTTAAAAATTAAAATTATATAAGCAGTGTAATTAAATATGGAGATTCCAACTCTAAAAGCCCAATTGATCAAGAAGCAACCAGTTAAAGGATTTATTATTAATTTAAGAGAGACATTTCCTCCTCAGGCCCCACACAGACTCCACCTACATTTTCAACTAAATAATCCTTGTGCTGATAGATTAGGTCTTGGGTAGATTTAAAAAATATGATGCAATACGGTATACTGATGAAAGAATGCTAGGCTGATAATGTGATTACAAATGGCCATGTGGTGACAGATATTAATAGAACAAGGGTGGGCAAACTACGGGCTGCATCCGGCCCGTTGGACCTTTTTAATACAACCCTCGAGTTCCCACTGGAGAGCGGGATCAGGGGCTTGCCCCGCTCTGCGCGGCTCCTGGAAGCAGTGGCATGTCTCCCCTCTGACTTCTATGTGTAGGGGAAGCCAGGGGACTCCGCATGCTGCCCCCACCCCAAGCACCGGCTCTGCAGCTCCCATTGGCTGGAATCACGGCCAATGGGAGCTGTAGGGGTGGCGGCGCCTGTGGATGGGGCAGCGTGTAGGGGTACATGCCGCTGCTTCTGGGAGCTGCTTGAGGTAAGCACCGCCTGGAGCCTACACCCATGACCCTGCTGCCATGGCCCTGCCTCACCCCTGATCCCCCTCCCACCCTCTGAGCCCTCCTGCACGCCAAACCCCTCATCCCCAGCCCCACACCAGAGCTTGCACCCCCAGCTGGCACCCTCACCCTCTCCACACCCCAACCTCCAATTTGGCCAGCATTCGTGGCCCACCATACAATTTCCATACCCAGATGTGGCCCTCAGGTCAAAAAGTTTGCCCACCCTGTCCTAGAATGAAGTTCCTGGAAGTATAGTACCATTAACTGTCCTATCCATTGGCCTGCTTTCCTTTGCTCCCCTTTTCCAGCATCTTGTGTCCGAAGCGCTTGTCTCCATCCTTTGCTCCTCCCTGCCACACTTTTTTTTTTTTTGCAGGGGGTGGGGTGGTGGTGGTGGTGATGATGGTGGCTGTTTGACTCCTCTTCAAATGGTAGCTGTTGGGTTTTATTCTTCATGGAGGCAGCTAAGCTCTTATTGACAGTAAAGCTGCCTGCTGGAAGAAGCTGAGCTATTCCTGGTGGTAGCCACATCTGTTTTTTATGGAGAGTTCTCCCCCTTTCAGTTTGCAGACTACCAGGAAGTGATTCACCAACCATCAAGTGTCTATAGACTGAGAGCTGCTGTCCCACTTAATTATGTTGCTTAGCTGAATGCCCTGGGAAAAGTAAGTGCTCATAAGATAAACTAAATTTCACGGTAGTAAGAAATACAAGGCGAGAAACTGTCAAATAATCACTTCCTGCAGTATTGTTGTAGCTGTGTCAGTCCCAGGATATCAGAGAGACAGGGCGGGTGAGGTAATATCTTTTACTGGACCAACTTCTGTTGGTGAGAGAAACTTTTGAGCTCTGTGTAAGTTTGAAAGCTTTCCTTTCTCACCCAACAGAAGTTGGTCCAATAAATAATCACTTTTGTAAGAATGAAATAAGGTTTAAGGCTAGAGTATCCCTGCAAATTCTTTGATTGTGTCCCACTATCTTTATCTGGTTCTAAAAAGCTAGTTTACCAAAATTAATAAGTAGATAGGGAGTAATAAATGGAAGCCATAATTAGATACAAAATATCTTCCCACTGTAGGAACTGCCTTACCGTTTCAGACCAGTGGTCTCTGTTCTGGTATCCTGTGCTATACTGGATCAGAGGTATGAAAATGGGTGGATTGATTTTAAATCAAGATGATTTAAATCACCAAATAGGCCTAATTTAAATAATAAACTTTAATAAACTTTTTCCATATGTACTTCAGTTACTTTCTAAAGAAGGCTGCATTCCATTAAAACATGTTAATTGACAACTGAATAGTCTTTATACTAGATTTGGTACATCTTTTTGCTACTTAGGAAGGTAAACTATAACTATGTACACTTATTTAAGCAATTATATAGCTTAATTTCAGTTTCTTACTAACTACATTTTTAGTATGTTAGAAAATGGTGACTATGTTGCTTATTTACTAGATAATTAACTTTTTTGCTCTTTATCTGTGTCAAACTGTGTTAGGATGGTAACTGGAATTTAATTAAACAAAACTGCACATGTTTATTTTTATTAATCAAAATAACCTTAAATGTTTAGGATACATTAACTTCTCTTATCAAAACACGTTTCACATTTATACTTAAGTGATATATTAAAAGAACAGAGGTTAACTGTAGTCAACTGATTATTTCAGGTGAACCGTAGACAGTTTTCAAATATGCCTAAGTGAAAGTGACTGGAGCTTAAATTCCTACTCATCTGAGGCCGTGTCTATACTACAGACTTAGGTTGACTCAAGTTATGTTGGCATACAGGAGTGGTCTCCAACCTTTTTATGCCCAAGATCACTTTTTGAATGTAAGGGCAACCCAGGATCTACCCTGCCCTTTCCCTGAGGCCCTACCCCTTCCCACTCATTCCACTCTCCCCCACCCTCACTCACTTTCACCGGGCTGGGGTAGGGGGTTGGGGTTCGAGAGGGGGTGCGGGCTCTGGGCTGGGGCCAAGGGGTTTGCAGTGTGGGAGGGGGTTCTGGGATGAGCCAGAGGCAGGGGATTGGGGTTCAGGAGGAGGTGAGGGGTGCAAGCTCTGGGAGGGAGTTTGGGTGGAAGAGGGGGCTCTGGGCTGGCCAGAGTGTTGGGGTGCAGCGGGGTCAGGGCTGGGGCAGGTGGTTGGGGTTCAGGAGGGGGTTTGGGGTGCTGGATCCAGGAGGGGACTCAGGGCTGGAGTGCGGCCTTCCACTGGGCAGCAGTTACCTCTGACAGCTCCCGATTGGTGGTGTAGCGTGGCTGCCGCTAAGGCAGGCTCCCTGCTTCCACGCCACTTCTGGAAGGGGCCAGTGCACCCCTGTGGCACCTGGGGGGGGCGGAGGCAGGTGGCACGTGGCTCTGTGCACTGTCCCTCTCTGCAAGCACAGCCTCAGCAGCTCCCATTGGCAGCAGCTCCCCGTTCCCAGCCAATGGGAGCTGCGAGGGCGATGCTTGCAGGGAGGAGCAGCGTGTAGAGGGAGACCCCTGCCCCGGGACCGTTGGGATGCGCTGGCCGCTTCTAGGAGCAGTGCGGGGTTCGGGCAAGCAGGGAGCCTGTCTTAACGGTAGCCCTGCTGTGCTGCCGGAGATCACGATCGACCCGGAACTCCTCTAGGATCGACTGGTTGGTGACCATTGGCATACAGCCACTTGTGAGCATGCATACTTGGCTCCTTGTGTTGGCGGTGTGCAAACACATCAGGAGAGCTTGCATCAATGCAGAGTGGAAGGTATTCCATTGTGCAATTCGCGCCATCCAATGCACTGTGTTTTGGTAGTGCATGACGGGGCCAAAATGAGTCGCATAGGGGTGACTGGGAGGGATGTAAAATGTTAACCGGTAAGCATTAGTCTTACTGGTTAACCTGCCTTAACTGTTAACCCCCGCGCCAGACAACCCCAGCTGTTCAGCCCGACTGGAGCGGGAC